ATAGAAACATTTACATACATTCTATAAAAAAAAAATATCGAAAGTTCACTAAAAATGTACATCAATTCTTAACAAAACCACGTATATAAAATAATATAAAATTTTTATCGCCATTATCGTACCTTAAAATTTCTCTGTAAGCTAGATCAGACCAGTCAACGTCCCGAAGAGTCAGTTGCCTCAAATTTTGAGATACTGTCACGAAGGATCGTTTGAAGCAGCTTTATATAGGGAAACCATGTCTCACCCTTCATTCATGCCCTTACTAAAACCCCTTCCCTTGAATCGTTGTATACGTTATACCATATTATCAAAAGTTTGAGGTGTCTCCATTTAGTAACCTACAATAAAACAAGCGATACCGAGACAGCTAATCATTATTAGGGAACATTGTAGCAAACCTAGTCAGACTAGAGCAAATTATATAATAAATTTTAATTGAGACGTTAAAAGTTTCCAAGGGGTTGTTAAATCCTGCGAACAATGATCTACCGTAGCTTGTATAGTACACTCTGCGTTAATTTACGTCGTACAATTCAAAAGGGGCTTGACGAAGAGCCAGTAATGATGAAAGTGGTTTATTACTACCAATTACTGTCAGAATGCACTGAAATGTTCGAAGAATGATATTATAATAATATACATATTATTAAATATTAATATATATATAATTATAACATATATTATTATATATATATATTATACAATATTTCAAATATTATACAATATATATTATACAATATCTAACAAATATATAAATCTATAAATTCATTGCTCATTCCTTTATGCCTGGATACATAAAGGAATCTTTGTTTATAAGTTCTTTGTATAATTAAAGTTCACTTAAGTTCTTTTTGTTTTATCGATGCCTAAATAAAAACACCATTTGTTGTTCAACAATAACATTTATTTTGTTCAGTTATTGATAAAAGCGTCATGTATAAAACAGATCTTCTGTACATTTGTAATATCATTACAGATCACACTCAGTCTCCAGTATCCATTATACATCCTTCTTAACAAAAACTTACGTTCCCTAAATACGTTCATCTCAAAAAATAGATAAAACTAAACATTAAATGTCATTTCTGTGAAGAATATCAACTGAAAATATATTCACCTTCGTCGTAAATCACTGTGACGATCTTATACTACATTAGTTTCTAAATTCATTACAAGAACAACCGCAAGTTAAATAAATGTAAAATTTACCACACAGTGATACCTTAACAGCATAATGTCGTAAGACATAATTCGTGTTGTCGTTTCATTGTGTGCACGATCTATTAAATATCCATATACTCGTTACTGTGAGAACCGCGTGTTTTACGTGACAAATGCCAAAAATGCAACATTACAATTATCCACTGTGTGGCAAGCCTGTGCTCATATTTATAGAGAATACGTGTACTGTCTTCTATAGCAAAATCTAATGCATAAAAGTAATTGTATGACTTAAATATCACAACATTCTTACCTAAAAATTTGAATAGTATCAACGTATTTAATATTAAATAAACATGGCTCTAAACGACAATGTTCAAGATCCTGAGTCTCATCCAAGTTAAAATAAATACCTTCCTTTGTTAAAGAGAAGTTTAAATGTGGTTGTCAAACAAAAAGTAATAAAATATACTTCAGTACTATTAATTAGTAAACTTTAATAAATCTTGGATATGTACTTTTTCATGTAAGAATTAATCATGTGATAGTAACTACTAAAAACTACTATACGATGCATTGAAAACTTTAAACGTACAGATTTGGACATTTTAAATAAAATTTGAAAACGTCGTTAACGGAAGTTGAACTGCTGTAAGTACATAAATAATATGGCTATATTTTGTATCATAAAAAATGTCAATAATATAAAATAGTGTCAGACTGTTCAACAAGTTTTTTAAACAATATGAATAAAATGACGTGTATTCCTGTACTTTGAAGAAAGTACTAATTTACCTCAAACAATTTGAAAATGTCTTACATAACACTCTACTAGGTGACAACTCAATATTTTAGCCTGTCCTCGTATGCAATAAATTAGATCTTTGGTTAGCTTATGTCCATATGTTCCATATGTGATAAGGATCACATTGTAAAAATCAGTGTGTAAAATAAAATTATTAATCACAATTTCAATAATTTCTGTCATGCTAATTTTAAGTCATTTGTATTCTTTGCACTGGATTTTTAGTGCACATTCGGCTTGATTGTAATAATCAAATTCATTAGTCCGTCACTAATCCTGTCCAAAATAATATATGGCACATATATGTCACATAATGCTTGTTTAAAAAATTTTCAATAAAACGTCTTCATGTATCACTTGAAAAAGAATCATCCATTGTCAAGTTAATTGTAGAATTTCTACTGTTGTCTGAGTTCATTGCAATATATCGCCTTCTTAATATTTCTTGTAAATCATTACATGGACTGTTCTCGCGTTTTATATGAAGGGATCGTCCTCTTGGAGATCTGAAAAATTATATAACACCAAATTGTAAGCTACAATAAATGGTTTTATTCAAGTGTAGAAAAGTATAGTAATTTATATTACTTAGCAACTGAATTCAGTTGAATACCCTCGATACTTTTAAAGACATCACTAATAGATGCTTGGGAATTTAATGGAATTCTTTTATGTTCTTCAACTTTGTGATCTTGCAGACTTGCTCTCCTTGCAATATGAGGAGTTGTAGGTGGTGGTAATGGCGACAGCGGTGGTGGTGGTGGTGGTGGTGGTGGTGGTGGTGACTGTGTTTGTATCACATTGTCAGTATTAGTTCCATTTACTAAAGACGCAGTGGACGTATCTAAAATATGTTTAATGCCCTTTTTTCAATTAAATTATACAGTAATAAATAGTAGAATAATCATTTTGTACTTATACATACATCTAGATTGTTTGTTACTTTTAACTATCGCTGAAACTTGTTCCCTAAGTTCTTGAAGTTCTTGCTCCAATGCAAGCAATCTAACTTCTGACCCGAAACTAATTGGTTCCAATAAATCAGGCCTAACATTGGAAAACCTGATATAAAACAAATATTACTGGATTAAAGAACTGTTAAATTAATGAAGCAATGTGAAACTTAATCAAATTAAAGGACTACCTTGCTTGTCCAAATCCATTTGTATCTTTACAGTCACTACTGGTTTCTTCATTGATCATAGAACTTGACATTGAATGTAAAGGTGTAACACTGACATATATTTTTGGTGGAGGTTTTAAAGGTAAAAGTGAACCAATTCTACGAACAATACTTCTTCTTTTTCCATAGTATTTCGGTGGTTCACACATCTAAAATACAACTGAAATTATGTCACAAGTTCGCACTAGTTTCTTAGTACCAAATATAAAATAAATTAATAATAAAGCAACTGGAACTATAAATAAATTTGTATGAAACGACGGAAAATACAATTACGTAAAAATAATAGATCTATATAATACTGGGTTAGTAATCCTTCTAAAATACAAGATAAAAATATTTGTCACCAAGTTTTTTAAAATCAACTATTAAGTAAGTTGATCACAAATGAACAGGAACTATAAAGAAATTTTTATGAGACAATAAAAGAAACAATTACGTAAAAATAATAGATGTATATAATACTGTGGGTTAGTAACACATGGTATTCACACACAGTCTTTGCATAACAATCAAAATTCAACACTTTACCTTCCAAATTATTCAGTCTCTTTTTGAAAGTATTTAATTTCACACCTTAATTGTTGAATTGAAATACCAGCGTATACTGTACTTCTTATAGAGAACATCAGGGTCATACGAAATTCGAAATTAAAATAACTTCTTTACCATTGACGCAAAGCCAACATCTGACAGGTTGTCGTATCTCGAAGGCACAAAGTTCAATGAAAAGCGGCTTAAAGATCAAACATTGAAATATGTTTTTTCTCAAGATACAGTAAAAATATATTTTGTGTTATTTGTTTTCTCTCAATTCTAATTTTTGGTTAAAACATTTCCTATATATATTAACGAAAATTAAGAATATATGTTACGATGTTCCTTTTCCTTTTTAAATTTCCTTATAATAGTTCTAAAAAATTGTCTACTATTATTTCTATGTAAATTCATTAAATTAGACAAGGTTCTTAATTATATGTAGTAACCATTTTCAGAAATAATTCTACAAAGCAAACTAAGATAATAACAATCAATGACAAAATTATGGTTTCAATCTCACTTTTAAGCTGTAAGGATTAAAATCCACCAATAACGGCGCGTAACTCATTTAGCGTAAGTCTTTTGGACAGATAGCACTGCCGCGCTCATTCTAATTTGCTTAAGACGCATTATTATTAGTAAGTTATCATACTTTAAAGAAATTTTTTGTCGAAACGCAGTCTCTATCGTAATTTCATTAATCTTGATTTTCATGATATTTTTATTTGAACAATTATCTTAAACAATTATCTTAACAATTATCTTAAAGATATTTACAACACATACCCATTTAATCGAATATTTTATAATATAATATGTTCCATGTATCTTAATTATTATGACTATTGTCTATTGTTTAGACTACTTCTTATTTTCATTATATTTTACGATACTTTATGGCTACTTATATGGAACCGGTGTCATATTTTTAAAGATTTCAAAATCATTATTATTTTTCTTAAATGGAACTATGTAGTTATATTTATACACTCATTATAACCAAATAACATTACAACAAATTCAGTAATATATTGTTATAGATTATAAATGTTGAATGTGTCTAGCGTACACTCAACAGTTTTAAAATATTTATTACAATGACGAAAACTTTGCTAAGTAAAATAGTTTTCATATTATATATAAATATAGTCAAACTACTGTTTAGGGAATCTACCTCCAATAATCCAGATCTTCACATACGTTATTAAAGTCACCTTCTTGAATATCTTCAGAAGCATATCACCTTTAGCGTTATATCGTTACACTGAACTTCGAAAAAGGCGTTGAAATAGAATAATTTTTTAAACAAGAATTCTGCCAAATAATGTAACAAATGAAAGTTACGAACATTATAACAAGAAATATTTACTCGCATGTCTTACTACGACTTTTCCATATAATCTTCGTTATTGTATAAAATGTTATAAACATCACTTGCTTGTGTGAAAAAATTGGATCGTGAGCAATATATTTTTTAATAATAAGTAATATAAATAAAAATTTACAATTACATTATTTATTTAAACGTAAATGTATATTTTTTGTATAGATAGATTTCTCTTGTCATTGTACTTAAAAAAGCATTGCGATAAATTGAGAACAAATTATTATTTACCAAAATATTTTTGAAAAATGTCGTTATTAAATAAGATGTTTAAATCTGTTTCAAATTTTGGATTTTCCCAGGGTTACAATTAATAATGAAATCCCTATAAATGTACATCTATTTTTGTTAGGACCAGAGATGACCTTAAATTAGTTGTGAAAACAAGTGATCTGAAATATTTATAGTGTAATGAAGTGCCGTTGAACATCTTATATGATGAAAATATTTTTCAAATTATTTCGGTAATTAATAATATTTAAAAATTTATTTAAATAAAAAAATTTTTGTTTTAAAAAATAATAGTATTGCAGACTGTATATGCACCATTGGCCTTCTAAAAACACGTAGTCCTGTGAATGTAATACTCCTTAAATCAATCATTTTTCTCTTTGAACATTCTTTTTGTAATGGTAACAGTAATGGGAAATTATAGCTTGAAACAATTACGTGAATCATCCTGTATGGCTTCATTTGGTTCAACAATTTTACAACTTATTGTTGAAGTAACTATAGGTGCTTTAACAAATCGACACAACATATAAAATAATTAATTTTAAATTAATATTAATTTTGAAATGTTTACTATTAATAACTGCATGATCGTTGATTTTCAATTCTCTAATCAAGAAAAATCTGCATCGAGGTGGTCATATCATTAGAAACTATTTAATAAGGCGGCAAATTTTTCTTTAAATCCGTTTACACTTAAACCATGTTTCAGGAAATACATTGAACTTAAAATTATGTGTTGCTTTTTTTTGCTTTCGATTTATAAAATCTTTGGAATACTTCTTTGTACAACGTAATATAAAATCTTCAGAAGTATCAATCATTGAAGTATATTACTTCACTGCAAATGGCTTTACTTCCACAAAGATTCAAAATTGTAAATCATATTAATAAATTTATGCAAATGCATTGAAACTTTGCAAAATTTTTCGTCTTTAAATTATGCAATTATGCAACTAAGATTATATAATAAACCGACTATAAGTAATAATATTAAATATTATATTACAGAAAATATTGATAGAAAAAAATCGAAGCAGAACAGTGAATATAGAAATATTAGTACACTATTTATATATATATATATATATATTTAAGTATATACTTACATATTTATATGTACCATCTGCGGACTCCTTAAACATATATCCAAGGCCGGAAAGCTACTTACATTTCACTTGTGAAAGATATTTTATTAATAACTTTTTAATGAACAATAAGCGCCAATTAAATCTTTTTGCAAGTCATTTAGAAAAATTAATTAATAACATGTTTATAAATGTTAATATTATTAGGAATGGGTCTCCTAAACAGCAATTTTACCATAAAATAATTAGTACTTCATATGTATAAATCATTATGTTTTAAAATAGTATGAACATTATATGAGTGGACATGTTCTATCACATTAATGAATTTAATTAATTTTAACATTAGTTATAACATAGTGTAAGTAGACGAATATGATTTTATTGAAACAAAATAATCTATATCTATATACAAGGTCCAGTAATAAATAATTATCGAACTATCAGCATTATATTTTCTCAAATTTAATAACGCAGCAAACTTTCAAACTCGATTTTCTCGAAAATGAA